CTGTCCCGGTTGGCACCGGTCCAGCACTGTAAACATCACCACATTCTATGGTTGATTATTTTTTTAAAAAATTAAATATATGACCGCGCGTTCCACATGCACTCATCGTTACAGACACCAGTCGTCCTGCAGGGGTGCCACTGACATCCTTGGGGGGGATACATAAATATTGTAGCTGAGAGCTTACTAATATTTGAACATACCCCCGAGAAGAAGTCAGCTCCTTGGACCATGCAATCGTGGGAGGAAACTGTCTCTTCTAATGCAGGACAGGATTTTTTTTTTTGCCTTCTCTCCTACAACATTTTTCGAGACTGGTTAAAGAAACAAAAAAAAGAAATGACCTAAAGTACGGGTTGGTGTTTTGCTATACCCAATCCCCCCTCCGACTGGACCTGTGGATGTAATTGAAGAGGGAAGCGCGGATATAACATTCTGGCTAGCTCAAAAGACTCCAACCGAGCCGTTTTAATTACACATGCAGGAAATGAACATCGCTGACATGTTTTTTGCCCTGCAGAGACACAAGACCACAAAACAAGGGTAAAATCGTACACCATTCATAATCCAAATTAAGCGTGGAGGAAGACATGGGCAGCTTATGAAAAACGAATTACCTGAACTGTTAACCGAGGCCAAAGCGAACCGTGAGGTGGCAGAGGAGGAATGCACCTGCTGAGAAATGCCCAGCACGAGGTCACCATAGGCAGCGCGTTGACAAGGGCCTCAGCGCACGGAGGGACAGCTATCTAAGGACCCGTCTAAATCTAGAAAAATAAAGTGTATTTTTAAGGCTTAGACAACTCCGAGACAAAAAAGGAGAAGTAGAGGAGGACAGAGGCCAGGGTGAGTAGGAGTGACTGTGTAAAGAAGCCCTGCACCAGAAGATCCAGTGCAAAAAGGGGTGAAATCTGGGCCAGGCAGAAGTAGAAGAGTAAGAGATGGAGATTGCTAAAGATCCGGAAGCAGGCATGCCCTGATTTAGGAAAGAAGAAGAATGTGACAGTACACATCACTGATTATGATAGTCCATGAGTATCGAATCTCTGTATCTGTGATCAGTGTATGAGCTCCACATTCGACCTGTTTGTGGAGAGACTGCCGACAATCATGAAATGATTTGGATGCAACTTGGAGAAGGTATATATGTCTAAAGACGACCAGTGTTAGTGTTTAATCTCCTAGGGGAGAATGAATGGGAATTGAACCCTGATATCTTGCCATTTATCAGGAACCTGACGCCAAAAAGTAGGAGAAACCGCGGCAAACCACGCTTAAACATCAGAAGTGTATCGTTACACCGGTGGGGACTGGCACAGGCCCCGAGTTGGAGCAATAAATTGCAAGTTATGATGAATTGTGGAATCAAAAGCGATTGTTTGTATCATGTACTTCTCTGTGCTAATTTGCACTCAGTTGCCTGGTGAATCAGAAAAATGCATCTGTTCATGGTGGGGTGTATATTCAGAGTCAAAACACTCTCTGCCTGTCTGTTTTAAAGCTGCTAAATTCTCCAAAAAGACAAAAACACGTTTTGTGGGCAGGAGCAAGATTTAAAAAAATTGGGTAATGGTTTTTTTTTTTTTTTTTCTCAACTCAAGAAATAAAACATCTTTTATTTCCCCAAATTTATCACAGTAGGACTATTTAAAAGCTTTTGCCATTCCTTGTGAAGCCAGAAGAGAGTGTGGGGCAGGAACACAGTGAGAATATTCCATGAATCTCCCTTCAGCGTATGTGTAGACATATGGTCCAGTGTGGCAGTTCTTTGGTCCCAGCAAGGAAGAGGCTTTAGTGATAAATAAACCGCCATCGTGAGACTTTTCACAGCGAGGGGAAAATCCCAGTTAAGTTAGTGTGACAGCTAACAAGCCTGGGAAAAGCAGTTTAACGCCTGTTTGGGTCATTCAGTTTACAATCTAACATTTGTATTTTACATACAAGTCCCCTTTTTTAATTTGTTCTGAGAAGTGAGGTTAATAATACTAGCATCCCCCACCCCAACACAAAAACTCCTGCCAGGCTGGGACGAGAGCCTCTTTTCTCCCACAGCTCCCTAAAGCGTGAGCATTAATTGTGCACCTACAGCAGAGACAGCGCTTCCCATATTTCTCTCACTTGCACTCACACGCGCCTGTGGAGGTTTATTGATGTCCTCTGGGGTTGACCAAGAATGAACCTCAGTTTATTGATGAAGCCAACTTTGTCTTCTTCTCCCTCCACCTCCGATGACGTGTCCAATTCTGGGTAATACTTGCCTCTTTTTTAGCACCCCCTCTCCAAAACTGACCGTGTCCCTGTCCTTTCTTTCCAAGCCTCCAGTATACTGTTGAGCTCTGGGCCTGATTGCTGTTTTGTGGCCAGTGGTAGTAATCATTTTATGAAACCTTTCCACACGACACGCCCTTTTTACCCTTAAATCAACACTTAAGGCCGTAGGAATGCAAAGGGGGGATGATTTTTATTAATGCGATTCCCTTAGCGCAATCACTACCTGTCTTTCTCCACTGCCAGATTACAAGTTGATGCATGTCTGTGCAAAAAAGCACATAAACAATTGGAGGGAGTGATACCAGAGGCAGAGTTTTTGTGGGCTGACAGCCAACTCTATAATCTTCAGGGACACATTGTGCAAACCTGTTCGTCTGTTGTGTGAACAGTTTTCATCAGCCCGTTTGAGGCAATATGCAACCTACGCAAAGAATCAGTTAAAACAAATGCCTTTAATTTTGAATGGGTTATCATGCATTTTTTAATGCTGTTACTGGTGTTGCAGGGAGTCCTTCAATGGGAATAGGTACATTAGATAAAAACATAATTAAGACCTACTGTGTCTGTCATGGAGCATTTTGCCATTTAAATTACAGCTACAGATGTATTGTTTAACACCAACACAACTTCTGTCACTGCAGTGACACTGTGAATAATGTACAACATGTTAATCAGTCAACAGCTACTCCTACTTCCACCTCCGGTGGCAGCGTCAGCACCAACTCACACATCTAGGTGTTAAATATGACGCGGTCCACTCCTCGTTACCCGTCTGCAGGGGTCCACTGACATCCTGATATGTAGCTGCTTCAATATTGACAACCCCAGAGAAGTCAGCTCCTTGACCAGCAACGTGGGAGGAAACTGTCTCTTCAATGCAGACAGGGATTTTTTTTTTTGCCTCCCACACTTTTCAGACTGGTTGAGAAAAAAAAAAGAAATGACCTAAAGACGGTTGGTGTTGCATACCAATCCCCCCCCCCTCCGACTGGGACCTGTGGATGTAATGAGAGGGCAGCGCGGATAAACATTCTGGCAGCTCAAAAGACTCAACCGAGCCGTTTAAACACATGCAGGAAATGACATCGCTGACATGTTTTTGCCCTGCAGAGACACAAGACCACAAAAGCAAGGGAAATGTCATTCTACCATTAAGAGAGACATGGGGCAGCTTTATGAAAACAATACTGGAACCTGTTACGATCCAACACTGACGGTGGAAGAGAAGGAATGCAGTGCTGAGAAATGCCAAAGAGGTGAATAGGCAGCGTTGACAAGGCCTACGCAGGAGGGACAGACTATCTTAAGGACCCGTCTAAATCTAGAAATAGTGTATTTTTAGGCTTAGACAACTCGAGACAAAAAAGAAACTACAACATGTTTTTATTCTGCGCTCTAAACGACCACACTGCTCTATAAACGACTGTATCTGGATACATCTCATAACAACAGCAGACACTACAAGATTAAGCAAGTGGCCTTCTCATTCATGACTTTGCAGCCCGTAATTACAACAGATAGAGGATGTTCTTTGATCACAGACAACACATGACGCCCTAACGAAGACAGGTTGTGATAGATAAAACGATTAAGAGGAACCACCTCTGTCTGAGGCAGCAGCAGCAGAGCGGAGCGTGGAGGATGTGACTTTTAACACAGATTGGACGTGAAGTCATCACCCTCACCCTCAGTTTAAGCTCCCACCATTAGGGACTGACTGGTCGTTAGTCCTCTGTGGACCCCCCCACCCCCAGTGGACCAAAACAAAGCATCCACTGCACTGTCTGGCACGTGTCACATCTTGCTGCCAATTGCTCTATTGTCTATGAAATAAAAAAAAAAGGAAGGGAGAGAGGGAGAGGGGGGGGCATGGGAGCAGGGGACATTGCCCCTTTGTGTAAGCAAACATAAAAGGGTCTAGTAGGCAGCTCAGCGTGCATGTGAAAGCCACGCCAACAGTGTGTGATCCCGCTCAGCTGGAGCCAGGCGAGTAAAAGCTAAGGTGGTCTTTGGTGATAATCAAACCCCCGACAGGAGCCTGGCACTGGGTGGACCGCCTCTGCAACCACTCCTTATTATCCTGCCTCGCATTTTTTTGTTTCACACACTGTATCGCCTAGCAACAGTGCGTTGCTAGGATTGCACAGCCTCGCCAGGAAGACGACCGCTCGTGTCTCCGTGCCCTGCTGTAACGTTACATCTCTAAACCGGAGTGACGTGGCACACAATCACCGGGTTTCACGAGACTCTCAAAGTTTTGTCGCGTCACGCGGCCGCTTCTGGTCCAGCGGTGAACTCGTGCGACCGGTTCGTCGCTCGGAGGATCAGTTTCTGTTCGGGAGCAGAAGTTTCTACAAGAGCTTCAACAGGAGTCGGTTTACGAGCTGCTGCTGCGGACGGAGCGCCGCTGTCACTTCGAGCGTCAAGTTCAAAAGCATAACAAAAAACATTTCCGACTCTAAACACTCGCTTTGACGTTAAACGGGTCGTTTTTCGGGTCGCCTGCCAGCTCTACCGACACCCCGCACACTGACTGATATGTTGCCCCCAACAACCGCGGCTGACGTCCACAGACGAGTTGTAAAGTAACGCTAACGTAAAGTAACGTACTCACCGGTTGTAACGTTAGCTCCCTGTCAAGGCTAGCCTGGTTTAGCCCTCGGTTTAGCCAAATTAGCACCAGCAAACAAACGCCTTTACGGTAACGTGTCGAACAACTGAATACTCACTTTTATGTCTGCCCGCACCCCACGACTGTTTGGCGATGCTGGGGCTCCGTATAATTGCCCTTCCAGCGGATTTCAAAGCGTCCATATCGTAATCCAAAAGTGGGGCAAAGAAGCCCGATAAGCGCCTCTTCGTCTCAGTCGAAACACTTCGCTTGGTTTAACACAAGCCTCTCTCGTCCAAACTTTGTTTCGGCTGTTTTCTTCTCCCCTCCGCACGGTTAGCTTTCAATCGATGGTGGATGATCATGTTCGTCCCCCTGGGCGGTGTTAGATATGTAAATTAACCGGATAATGTGCGTGACGCCCGTTTGTGGAATCACGCGAGCGAGGTTGTTGCAGCGGCGGCGCTCGCGTCCCGGGCGGGCGGTGCTGCTGCTGTTCTCTGTTGATACACGGTACCGCTTTACTCCCACCCGGTGGGTTCCGTGACTCAGGAGTTGGTAGTCACATCACGGACCGTGGGCAGACCTCTCATGTTTAATTCAGCCACATGGCTTCTTCTTTATTACCGAGCTTCTAAATTCATCGTCTATTCACTGGAAATGTCAGTAATGTCAAGACCAGAGATATATCGCAGAGTGGAACTACTTGACTCACCTTTTTCAGGTTGATGTAGCACCATAAAGCAGATCAATTCATATTGTGCATCACTGAACCATACTGTTCATTATTATTATTATTATTATTATTATTGTGATGGTTTTCCTTATGGCAACTGGTAACTGTCATCCTCTACTGACTCCACAATCATACTTTGTTTTGTGGTACACATCCACCTGATATAATATTGTTTCTGATAAAGTGCATTCTGTTGCCTCTACTGTAAGCATAGCCCCCATATTGTGCCCTAGTGCTCTGATGACCCTTCTTACGAGTAAACAGCTGCAGGGCAGGAAGGCTGTGAGCTTTCTTTCCTGGAAGAGAGTACATTATACTACAACAGTGAGTCACTGTTCCAAATTGAAAGCCACAGAGCTGCTGCTGGACATCTGGAGGAGAGGGGTCTCATTTTCACAGAAGAGGAATCCCTGCTGACCAGCCAAGAGTCATATTGACCACCTTTGTGTGTGATTAAAAATACATGTTGAATGGATAAAAGGACACGATTCAGTCAGCTAACAACAATTGTGACGGTTTAAAATCTCTCTGAGATCAAAATGACCTTTTTTCAGCCCCACTTTCTGCAGGCTGCTTAGATGGTACAAGGAAACAGTATAGAATATATAGAAGTCCCCTACACTCACAATTCTGTTCTTGTTGGTCCTACAGTTGGATGTTTGAGCTTCACTGTGCAGAATAATGTATGTGCAGTTTGACACTAGATGGATGTTTTCACACTCATCTGCTGAAAGTGGAAAGTTTCTCTGTGCTCACTAAAAATCTGATTTTAAGGGGCGGGCCTTTGTGACAACGCAAATAGTTTCTGCAAGGGTCAATCTTCAATACCTTTTTTGTGTACTGACCAGAATATATCCATAGCACATAGTACCTTTAGTCTTATTTTGATAACATCCTGATTTAAAGTTGTAAGTTGCAGTAAAGAGATGATGTAAAGTTTTTCTTGTGTTGACATGACATAAAGCATTTTGTTGAGGGAAAATCATCCTGAGAATTGATTTGGCCGTTGGTGCTGAAACTTTTATATTGTATTGGCTTCTATCATACCAAGCCCAATGTCTCTATTGAGTTTCACTGAGCTTACATCATCACCCACCACTCATGAGATTGGCCTTTAAAAAATCTTGCAGTACCAGATTTCACTGGAGATGACAAGCTCAGATACAAGAGTGCAACAGGCTAATACGTCACCAAGGACATATTAGGAAACCCCACCATCTTTAACCTAAAGCTCAGTTAGCAGTGACATACTACTTGGTTTGTACCACACAAGAAATGATTGGAAGGGAGAATTATCGCCGCATCAGTGTAGCTCTGTAAACTAAACGATCCCTCAGGTGCATTCCTTTTAAATCACTGTTTCTTTGTTGGCAGCTTCACTGAAAGGCTCGAGACAAAGGAATGCACTCTCTGCTAGTAAATCTGCCAGTTACTGAGGCATGCGAGACATATCTTGACTTTTAAAGCAGCAACATGGGTTGTAGTTACAGTAGGTGTGTTTGGGAAAAATCAATGACTTTCTGCTGGGGTGGCTGAGGGGGGAGGGGAGGGCGTGAGCGGGTTGCCCAACATTCAGCAGAGATGATTCTTTAGTCTGAAGGTGAGCATGAAAGACAAAACACACATAATTTATTTATACATGATGGCAAACACAAGTAAGCAGCCTCATAGCATCAGCCATGGAGTAAATCTATACACACATATATCCCCCCCTCCACACGCACACACACACAGTTTTACCGTGTAAAACAGAACTTGTTTTCCAGAGGAACACGTACAGAGGTAGGGGGATGGAAAGTGTATTTCCACTAAGAAAATGACTCACTGAGTTAATTTTAATTGAGTGGGGCTAGAGAAACAGGAGAGCACTACCTGGAATTTCTAATTTATGGCTTCTCTTCTTCAAACAGCTGGATTTGCTGTAGATTTGTTGGCCTAATGGCGTTGCGAGTACAGCTGTGCCAAATGCAGACTGCTAGAAAAGACCTATTATAATCTGTTAATTCCACATGCTTGACTCTGCCAAACAGCGTGGTGCCAAATTGGAACTAGAGGAGCAATAAAATACTGAGGATTGAGTGTGAAACAAATTTATGCCTAACCTAGGTGCCGGTTAATGCAGAGAAAATGAGCAAGGAGCTTTTCCCACAATTGTCTCGCTGCACAGGTTAATCAAGCGTATTTGGGGAAGCCTGTCATGTGACAGAGTGCTGAGCAGAGGGCTTCTTTCATGCATTGAAATTCACTGTCCTTGGCACAGAGATTCTTTATCTCCCTCCCAAATTTTGTGCATTACATGAATGAATTATCTCTGAAATCAAAATGTGTCGCAGCCCATAATTTTCTCCTTCTTTATGGTTCCCTCATCACTGACTGAAACCTCACGCCCAGAGGTCAGCAGAGCACAGAAAAGACTACTTCTCAGTTTGAAATGTAGATAAAAAGGAAGTATAAAAAGGTGTGTTTAAATACTCAGTTTTTAACATCAAAGACTGGCATTCCCCCTCTGGCATTATTTAAATGGAGCACACTCCCAGCTTCATTTATCTACCAACCCAGTGCTGCCGGATAGCTCTGTGGGAACTCCAGTGGTCACCATGTTTTGACTAGCTGTGATTGGAGGTTAGCATGAATAAAATATTCATAAATTCCTTTTGTCAGAGCTAAATGGGATTTTCTAATCTTGAAAAGAAGGAATAGAAGGAATTAGTGGTTCTGGACAGAGTTAATAACCAAGAGTCTGAGTGGACAGAGATTATCCCTTTTAACCTATATTATTTAGATGGATGCTGCCTCCTAGTGGTAATAAAATGATAGTGCATCTAACATCCAATACCAGAATATAGCCAGATGAATAGTTTTATGAGCAGTTTTTCAAATTTATGAAAAACATCAAATTTCAAAGCACATCTAATAGTTGAACACATAACTTAATATAGTGTTTTATTTAAACCATTCTAATATATCAGAGTCTTTCATTAGAACCAAGTCACCCAGTAATGAGAAGAATGTAATCACTGATGGGCTGACAGTATTTGGGGCGTCATACTTGCATTAGTTTGAACAACACAGGTTTGTAAAGCTGGCCAGAGGAGTAAGTCGGAGTAACAGCAACAAGCAGAGAAAAGTCAATTTGCAAGAAAAAAATGTTTATTCCTTGTAAACCTCACAGAGCGAGAGCACAGCCAAGGTCAGACCTGGGGAGAAACAGAGCAGTGACTGTGGGCATAGAAAACAAAAAACAAACAAAACACTTCTCTATACTTTCAACAATCAGTTGACCAAACAACTGACTAAACTGTAATTTTCACAACATTTTTTTTTTCCAGTAGCCAATGACAGCAATCTGAGCGAAAAAAAGCTTCTCCATTTACATTAGGTGAAAACCACACGAACAACAATGACCATTTCAGATGATGGTGAAACCATATCAGACTCTAGCAATTTTCTCCCTGCAGGAAAAATAACAATAACACCAGAATAAGGAAAACTGCTTTAAACAGCCACTTGCCCAACAGTTGCAAATACTGTAACATTCACAAAAAGAAACTTGACTTTCTAGTCCCTTACTTTAAACTACACAGTCTACTACAAACAGGTGACCACTCTTCTCTACCTGCTTAACAGAAACTGCCAATAAGTGATATTCAACTGGATATTTGACAAACATGTCCGCCAATGTATTTGCAGTACATTCTTACACATTACTAGAGGAACAAGCATTCCAGTCTTGGCACTCAAACTGAAGTAGAGGATTAATTCAATAAAATTATTCAACTGTTAACTATTAAAGTTGGCTTTTTTTCAAAGCTTTGTTTACATTGCACAGTCCGTCTTTACAGTTTTCCCTTTCAAACAGCGTGTTTTCTACAGTGCAACTTTAAACTGGAAATCAAAAAGGAACGGGAGGGCAGCAGCTAAACCGAGGGATTTGGAGTTTAACAGCAGTAGAGATGAGCTTCTGTGAGTGGACATGTGACAAGCCGGAGACCTGTGTGCAGTAAACTCTGGAGGATAACATCATGTCAACATACTGACAACAGGCAAACAGGAGTATAATGAGAAGTATTGGATGTGTTGCTGTCCGATGTATCTGTTGAATGTGACTAACATAAGGGACAAAGCTGCCATTGAGTGGATGGATCAGCTTCCCTACCAGTTGGGATATCAGTAGGGAGTCCAAAAACCCACATCCGTGTCCCAACTTTGTCCCACTTCACTAGGCCAGATCAACTTCTTATCCTTCCCAGCTTAGCCAGATGCTTCACCACTAATGGAGAAGGGTTGGGCCGTGTCTCATCCTCAAACTCACTCTATGTCCTCAACTCAAGGCACTGTGATCATGACAACTGATGAAAGACTGTGCAGAGTACCGAGAAGCCGGCACACTTGCAGACTTCGCCTTTTACCGCACTCTTTCTTCACCTCAAAAACTCATTAGGAGCTGCTTGGGTTCTTCATGTTCCTGCTTACAAAACAAGATCTTTTCAAACTTCTTCCAATCAACACTTCCAGCCTATTGAAATCAACACTTGAATCATAAAGAATGAACAAATAGATCCACACAATATACTTTAAAAACTATTTACCACCAAAACCCAAAGCAGCTGAGAGCAGTGTTGATTTGGCTTCTTAAAAAATAAACACAACAGGGACGAGAGTCTGTGCCAACTTTGCACTACATTCCTCTGGTTGTACAGATGTTGCCATACTACCTTGGGAGAAAACAATCGGTCAAAGAAATTTGGATTACAAGAAAGGCT